GGGGGCGCCCCGCCCCCCCTGCCCGCATCCGGTGGCCCCGCTGATCCCACGGGCTTGGTCAATCCCAGGTAATGGTGCAGGGTGGCTCAGCCTCCCTGCGGGGTGGGAGAAGGTGTTTAGAGGGACACAGGGACTTCAGCATCCTGACAGAGGTGACGGAGAGGGGGACAGCCCCCTGACTGGTGTGGTGCTGCCAAAATTCACAGTAGCACCACTGCACACCTGCCTGCCACCACTGCACCTCCAAATCCCCAGCACTGTACCCTCGAATCCCCAATATCGCATCCCTGGGTCCCCAGCATCGCACCCCCAAATCCTCACCGTTGCATCTTTGAGTCCTTACCACTGTAGCCCCACTGCACCCCCAAATCCTCACCACAGTGCTCCCAAATCCCCAGAATTGCATCCCTGGGTCCCCATCACGGCACCCCAAAACTCCCACTCTTGCACCTTCAGTCTCCACTGTGACACTTTCAAATCACCACCACACCCCCCTTAAATTCCCCACAGTGCACCCTCAGTCCCCTCCACTTCATACCCAAGTCCCCCCCACTGCAGCACCTTCAAATCCTCACCATTGCAGCCCAGCTGCACCCCCAGATCTCCACAACTGCACCCCCAAATCCCTGCCACTGCAATATCACACCCCGGGGACCTCAGCACTGCTCTCCCTAATCCCCATCACTGCCTCTTACAGTCCCCTCCCTTGCACCCCAGGGACATCACTGCAACACCCCCAATTCTCCAACACTGCATCCCTAGGTCCCCAACACTGCATGTTCAAATCCTCATCACTGCACCCCCAGACCCCTGCCACTGTACCCCAAATCCCCACCACAACTCCCCCAGCTCCCCACCAATGCACCTTCAAACCATGGAACTGCTTTAGGGTGCGGTGGTCTCTCAGGGTGGGGGTGCACGTGCTGCTGTGTGGGAGGGGTGCCCACACCTGTGCCCCCCCAGGGCTGTCACCACTGGCCTCTCCATCTCCCAAAACAGCAACTGCTGATGTCAAGGTCCTTAAAATAGCCCTCCAAACGAGCAGCTTCATTAACACCAGCCTAAAATTAGCCCCACTCCCAAGCGGACAGGCAGGGGGGCTTGAGGGGCAGGCCCCAGGAGAGGCGGCCGGCGCGCTCCCCTCTGCCCTCATTATACAAGCATTTATTAACTCCGGGGCTCTCAGCCATTGACTGCCGCCTTGTCGACACGCTCGGCTCATGTAAATTCATTACCAGAGCAGCTGGGAAGCCAACCCGCAGCGCGCAGCCCTCCCCAGGCACCCCCCGGGCTTTGCACCAGCCTGTAGACCCCCCTGGATCAGCACCCAGGTGTCCCCTCGGAGCACGGGGCAGGGGGCTCTGCCTGCAGCACCAAGCACCCCTGTGCCACGGTGGGGAGGTGCAGC